TTATCATTTTGATACCGGTTTTATCATATTTTTACCTGTTTTATCGTTGTGGATCGATATATTTTTTTAAAGTATCGACATATTATAGGCGCTAAAACTGCTTCTCTTTTAAATTCACAAAGTGTCGATCCTTATATAAAGTATCGACACTTTCAATATATCCGGTAACGTTTTACCGGTTTTATCATTTTGTTACCGGTTTTATCATATTTTTACCTGGTATATCGTTTTGGATCGATACATTTTTTAAAAGTATCGACACTTTATAGGATTTAAAACTGTTTCTCTTTTAAATTCACGAAGTGTCGATCCTTATATTAAAGTACCGACACTTTAAATGTATCCGGTAGCGCTTTATCGGTTTTATCATTTCTATACCGGTTTTGTCATAGTTTTACCTGTTATATCGTTTTGGATCGACACATTTTTAATTTGGATCGACACGAACCGGTAGCACAATTTTTTAATATTTCTTCATGACTTAGACCTACTTTTATAAGTATTACTTTTATAAGTATGGACACTTTTATAAAAATGATATATACTTTTTTTAAAGTTATGTAATTTATGTTTCAATTTTTTTTAATAGTGTTTCATGTTTTCCACCTACAATATTAATTTAATAATTTCATTTACGCAAAAAATTATTTGATTATTTGATATTTTATAAAATATTATTTAGAATTTAAATTTAACAATATTAACCAAATATAATAATAAATATATTTTCCACAGTGAAATAAGTATGGACACTTTTATAAAAATGATATATACAAAGTTATGTAATTTATGTTTCAATTTCTTTTAATAGTGTTTCATGTTTTCCACCTACAATATTAATTTAATAATTTCATTTACACAAAAAATTATTTGATTGTTTTGATATTTTATAAAATATTATTGAGAATTTAAATTTAACAATATTAACCAAAGGTAATAAATATATTTTCACAGTGAAATAAGTATGAACACTTTTATAAAAAGGATAGATACTTTACAATATAACAGGTAAAAATATGACAAAACCAGATTCATTATGACAAAACTGGTAAAATTTACTTGACATGTTAAAAGTATGGACACTTTTATAAAAAGGATAAATACTTACCGATAACCAAAGTTTACCGGTTACCAAATTTTTTAATAGTTTTTCATATTTTCTACCTAAAACATTATTAGTTGTCAACATAATAGGTATCGCTAAACCGAATTTATTAAATACATTTTAATATATCTGGTAATGACATATATTAACCGTATATTAACCCAAATTTTCACAATCCCGTTTCACCTAGATCTCTCTGCAATAAAGAGTATACATTCTGTGTGTGCCCAAAATTTACAGCTTTATGTCCTTTACTTCCGATGCTTATTCGTACGTTAATCCTCCAACACTGGCCGATGTTTTTTTTTACTATCAGCTTTTTACCTCTCCTTGTCGCGCACCCTTTCTTCAATATTGTCCGCTTTTTTCTCGTGAACATGATCAGAGGCAGAGCATTATATATATATAAATATATTTTGCTGATGAACTCTGACAAATTATTATTTTTGTTACCATATCTTCTTCTTTTTATTTTGGAAGGGTTTTGTGAGTTTCGTGTTCACTTCCCCTATACAGCGTTAACATATGTTTTTATTATATATTATTTTAATTTATAAAAATAATAATGTTAATTAACTTTAAGTCTTTAAAATAATAAATTAATGAAAAAAAAACAAAAGAGAAGGGACAAGATCACAAGAAATGAAATTGAAAAGAACGATGTTAAGATAGTGTGTGGAAAGGAAGGAATTAACACCTGGATCACGTCTATAAGAAAAATTGTGGGGTTTATGCTAACAGACAAAATTATTTTCTTTAATTGGTCTGTCTCATTCAATCAGCGACAAATCTAAAATTTAAAAAAATAAAATTTTAATATTTTAATATCTTATTCTAAAAAAAATATGAGTATGCAAATTTAACATTTTTCCCAAAAATAAACTAAATTTAATATTTTTTTCAAAATAATGGATGTGCAATGACTCCCTAAGAACCATGTAGCATTCAACACGTTAAGGTCACTATTATTTAGGGCATCTCTTCAATTTTGTTTTTTGTCTTTATCTTTTATATTTTTCGATGCTTCTTTCGCAGAAAAACTTTTAATTATGGGTCTGCGTTGCCGTCCACATTATCCTCCACTCATGCCTAGGTGTATACTATTCTTTGTAATTTCTAATTTTTTTATAAATAATTAAAAAAATTATTTTGATTATATATTTTTCAAATTTTCATTTTATATGTTTGGTTTTTGGTACTACTTTTCTTATAAAAAATATTTTTCTGAGTATGATTTTAAGAATTTTTTATAAGACATCTAATCAAATTTATGAAATAGATTTAGAGATTAGATCGTGTCTATTTTGACTTTAGTACATGTAATTTATGGGTTGGCTCGAGTTGGTAAAAAACTAACTCATCCTACTCTATTATCATTCTTAGTAACCAGAGACGAATGTAAGATTTTAGATTAAGTGACGAACTTATAAAATTTTAGGAGAGATTGAACTTATTAAATTCTAGTAGCAAAAATATATTATCAATTGAAAATACAAAGAAAATTTCCAAAATATATTTTAATTTAAAATTTTTAGAGGGTCGAGCACTTGGCCACTCACCCTTTTCGATCTATCCATGCTAATAACATGCTTTGCATAAGCTTGAGGACCATATTAAACCCTAAATTTTGTAAGATAACAGAATGCTTATAAGGTACAACTTCAAGCCCATAATACTATTTAGCCTATATTTTAATGATGGAACCAGTGTGTTTTTTACTTTAGATTATTAAGAATCCAAATTTGACTTGTATTTTAAATAATACGTGGGTTGCTATTGAACTATTCTAATTTTAGTCATAGTATGCGTTCGTTATCTTTGAATTCATTTTAATTATGATTAAACTTTGCACTTGTAATTTCAAATATATGTCCCATCGCAATTATATAATTATAATATAATAAATAAGACATGAATGGTTGACTCAATTCATTTTTATTTTGAGTTTGAAGTAAATTGATCACTCAACAACATTGTTTTAGAATTGAAGCATCAAATTGTAAATTAAAATTCTTCTCCCTTTTGTTTCATTAGATAACTAGGAGCGAGGGATTGCGTGTAAACTATTCAAGCCCTTTATCAAGTAGTTTAAGCAACTTTTTTTAATAAGTAGTTTAAGCAATAATATAGTATTAATGATCCAACTCTATAGCATGACTACACATAAAATTGATAAAAACATAACATAGATATATGTATGCGTTCAAATAAATATTAAAAACTAACCCCATCAAGTGGCCTTAATGGTAAAGTGAGTGTTTTTTTTTTAGAGATTATGAGTTCGAGCAACTTCGTCTACATGGTATGTGTGTTGTCAATTGATTAAGAAAATCCTGAAAGTATATTACCTTTTAATCATCTCAGACTATTAAAAAAATTATAATGTAGTAGAATAATGAATGATAATCATAAACATAAGAAACCAAACCTTTTATAGATAGCTGGATAGATAACTTCCCAATCTAAGGTTGGATAGTGTTAAATGGTATTCACTCGAAGGAGAGTTGGTTTAATCAATGGGAAAGGAATAAGCAACTAACACTTGCTTGCCTAAATATGATAGCTCCGATTCCTTGGTTGTTGGGGGTATCAACTAGGTTTGCCCGTCTTTGGAAAATTCCTATCCACTATTATCAATTTGTGATATTCCAAATTTTCATTACTCATACAACTGAAATAATATATACATCGACCTTTTAATTGGTTCTGTTCAGTTCATTGTACGAAACTAGATCAATTGAAATTATAAGAATATTTGTTAATATATTTCGAAATTTATTAAAAAATATATCCTTATCTACCAACTAACTATATATTAGCTAATCAAATCTAATTCTATATCCATATGTTCCCAGCTCGATTTCCTTTTTCATTTTACCTTTTGGCTACTGCCTTTATGTCCTAGTAGCGCAAAGTGTAGTTAAAAGTATGGACATCGGGAAGAAATCTAGCATGACGTGACTATTAAAGAGATTTTAATGGTTAATATTTGATGCATACATTCAACATGCTAAATGATGTTATATTAATAAAAATAAGAAATTCAATTCAATTATGTTACTAGAGAAAGATTATTTAATTTAAAAATGTGATTGAATAATAAATTTAATTTAATTTAAAATATACTTCTATTAGTATAATTTATAATATAAAACTGAATATGTTTAATTCCATAATATTTCTTATTTTAGAGAATGAAAAATTTTATTTCCTCTTTCTCGTTAAATATATCTCTTACTAATTTTCTTTAATTTGACACATTATTATTTAAAATTTATTATTGATAAACATATATTTTAGAAACCTTCAATCAATTCACTTTTAAATACATATTTTATAAAATCTAATTATTTAAAATAATCATCGAGGGAGTATATATAAAAAATAGTGATTGAAGTTACCCTGGCGGGGCTAGAACTAATTGCTAGTGGCCACCTCCGTTTGAGATTCTTTATGTTTTAAATGGATGAATGAATGAAGGTAGGAAACTAAAAGGCTAGACCCTAGAATTCATAGAATGTCTAATGGGTTGTCTTAAACATACAATAATCTTAACTCTGCCATTTTTACTTTTTACAGTTTGGTCATTTAGATTCCCCCCACTCATGTGTCATGTCGGCCCGTCTGCCCGTTTCCTTTCTTCTTTCTTTGCATAACGACTTGTAATTCATCAAAACGTATTTTCTTCTTCTCTCTCTCTTCTATCAGATTTTAATTTTACAGATTTTACAATTACTGCTAAAATATGCCCACAAGTCTGTAGGAAGAAATTTCTCATGCCTTTTTAAAACTACCAAAAAACCAACATTCTCAATTGTACAAGAAGAAAAATGAAAAAGATAAACATTCATGATTAACCCCCAAAAAATAAAGAATAAGATGAAACAGATGCCAATACTGAAACCGTTTTTATAATGATCCATTTCTAGAAAAGATATATGCAGTTCCTTTTTTTCACTAACTCTAAAAAAGAAGAAAAAATTGTTTCATGACATGTTAACATGTACACTGGCATTGGTAATAGAATCACAAACAGGGCAAGTGCCTACCAGAGTGGACCCACAAGATGTACAGAGACAAAGATGCCTGCATGGCAGCAACAGCACACTTGACTCCATCTCCCCGCACTTCCTACACTTCCTAATCCTATTATCATTCCCCACTTCTGCACGACCACCACTCACTTGTGGTTGCGGTGGTACCACCTTGCGCCACCCTTCATCGCTGCTGCCACAGCTAGACTCCGCATCGTCCGCCAACGCAGCTGCAACTCCACCTCTCACGTGGCGTTCGTCGCCGACGTGCGCCAGAACCTCTTCCAAATTGTTGCGCAGGGACTTGGCAGTGGCTTCGTTTGTTTGTGCCAGGTCTCTCCACAGTTGATTCTCCACGTATAGGCTTTTAACCCTTTCTTGAAGAATCCAGTTTAGTTTCCCCATTCTTTGCATCTCTTCTTCCTTTTCCATCAGTTTCTTCATCACCCCTTCTTGGATTGCTGAAATCAACATTCTTGATTGACTTTTCCTTATTTCTTCAAGTTCAAACCTCACTTTTTCGGTCTGTAATTAATGCAAAAAAAAAGTTAATATCAGTAAACTGCCTTGTTAACTGAGCGTTCAAGAAAACAAAGAAAGGTTTTCTTCCACATTCATTAAAACAGCTGTATAGACAGAAGTTTTTTATTTTAAGGAAACTTACGTGTTTAACAATGAAACGCTCGATTTCTTGTTGTTGCAGTTGGATCTGGGACAGAACATATTCGTCAAGAACAGAGGAAAAATCATAAAGTTTACTCTTTTGAGATATGGGATATGAATCAAGGCCATTGACGAATGAATCTCTGGGCCTTTTTCTTGGTGCTGAGACTGGGGTATTCATGTTATATGTAAGGCCGCTATCAGCTTTGTTGATCGAAGTTTTGGCTGAAATCGGATCACAAACAAAGGGCTGATACAATGGAAAAAGCTGTGAATCACGTTGCATTGAATCAACCAAAGGAACACAAGCATCTATCTGGGTATCGCATAGATTGCCACTCCCTTGATTTGTTTTCAGGAAACCTCTGCTACAAACAAAAAACAAATCTTCATGTCAAAAAAAAGAAAAACAAAGGAAAAAACTTGAAAAAAAAATTAAACCGATTCCTAACAATAAGAAGAAGAACCTGTTGGTGAGTAACTGAGGAGGGAAAAGGTTCATATGCGGAGCTTCAACCGCCATTGATGAAAAAAAGCTAAGGTGTGGGGTTTATTTATTCTTTGCTTCAACGTAAATCGCTTTGGGAATAATATACAGGGGAAAAGGGTGGGGAGAGGGGAAAACGAGTGTTTGGCTCTGAAGCAGGAGGGAATAAGGGAGAAAAGATAAACACAGATATAGGTGGCGACTGGTTTTGAGAGAAAGTCGAGGGAGACTTTGTTTGTTTATAATGAAAAAGGGGGAGGGAATCAAATTGCTATTTATTGTACACAAATTAGCAAAACATGGGGTGGCAGCTTTTGTCTTTGGATTAGATTTGGCTACTATTTAAATCCTTCCCCCTTTTAGGGGGATTTTTTTTTATATTTATTTTTATCTTTTTCTTGATCCCGTTATGTCTCGGTTAAAAACTAAAAAGTGGACCTTGACAGGGTTAAAAAAGGAATTTCGATATTCCTTTCAAACGTGGGATTTTTATTAACAAGAAACGATGTGGCTGTGATTTTAATGCGAGTAACTGACATGCCGCGTATCTGCCACGTTTCGGCTACATGCAGTTGTTCCACGTAAGCGTCCAGGCACCCCTCGTGATCATCATTATCGGTTTGAGAGAAAAAATAAACAAAAACCATTGAAGGCTAATGGTAAACGTGACCCAGTCATTGACCCCACTATCTCATCGCAAGTGCGAAGTGCGGGATCTTTCCTTCTTTTTCTAATACAGTAATAATACCAAAGTTAAGATAATTTAAATTTCCATTTCTCTTTTTTTTTTCTTAAAAAAAAAGTGGAACCGTTGAGCGCCCATGTTACGGTTCTCCATTTTGCTACCTTTGTTTTTGTCCCCTTCCTTTCTTTCTTCAGCTGTTTGTCTCTGTACGGACAACTCGGTGTGGGTGGCACTTGCCGGTGAATAAATCTATTGTGGGACATTATTTTTATTTTTTAATTTTAATTATTAATTGTACAAGGTTTTTTTTCTCCTTTAAAGCTAATTAATATTTGTTGTTGTTTTTTTAGATAACTAAATGAATTTGATTTATTTAATAATTAGAACGTAACTTTTATGAAACACGTATGTATTTAGTAATAAGATTCGAGTTCTTATTAAAAATAATAAAACTTGAATTCAAGATACGTTGTGATCAACTGAATCAATTTTTCAAAAAAATATTTTTCTGATTATGTTCATGATGTTTCTCTTAAAATTAGTTAATAAATAATGATTTAAAAACATATTAAGGTATTTAATTCAATATAGAACATAAATATATTAATTTCTTATAGTGAAAATAATTTCTTTTATCGGCCGTTAGAGATTTATCTTTTTTAATTTGGACGGAGAATCGTGACCAACGTAAGAAATAATAATAGATTAAATGTGACTATGCATGACAAGGTTAGAGAAGTAATAGATTGAATGTGATATTATTGCTCAATAATTTTTATATATTTTTTTAAAAAAATCATTAACATCATAATATTAATCTTAATGAAAAAATAAAAACAAATTACCATGTTACTTTAGCTACATTCAGGGATTGAGCCAGAATTAAATATTGGCATGGGCCGAAATATTAGAATATTTAAGAAAAATATAAAAACTTATTAGATATTTAAACTCAAAATTCAGCATTAACCAAGTGACCTTAGTGATTAAAGGATCGTTGTTATCCTTGAGGTCCCGAGTTCAAGCACATATGTAGGGGTATGAGCATTCATTGTCAAATAGTTGAAAGTCTTTGTACATATATTACCTTGTATTCACCCTAAACTAAAAAAAACTCAAAACTCAAAAGACAAGTTCTAATTTGTATAATATTTAAACTTACATTGACTTAAATTGTAATTAGACCAAAAATTTGAGAACACAAACTTATCATTCTTTAGTTCGCCCCCTACTTGATTAAATATCTAATAAATTTTTATATTTTTAAATTTAAATATTTATTTTTACATGAACTAAAATACTTTTAAACAAAAATTATATCAAATATATAAATTTTAACAGGGACCGGACCCCTTGAGCCCCAAAGGAGCTCCGTCCCTGTTTGCATTCATCATGGACTTATAAAACATAAGTTAATAATAAATGTTTAAATTATATTTAGTTTTTAGTTTAAATTTTTATTGTGACCAAAATAATTGTCTAATATTTTATAAAATTCTCATTTTAAGGTCCATTATTCAACACTCGTTAAAAAATGAATCACACCATGATTATTTAATTAGAGGCATAAAATTTAATTTACATTTAATTTATTCAAAATAAAATATTGAAAATCTTAATTTATAAAAGAATCTAAAAATTGTAATCTATCAACAATACCAAAATCGTTAAGGCCATAAATTCTTAAATTCACAAACTCTACATCACTAAACTCATAAAATCCCCAATTGGATGAAGATTTAGACAACTTAGTTCATTAATTTGATTCAAATGATGATATAAATTTATTGGCAATGACAGGCCAAAAGATTTGGTTACGAGAACGATGACTATATGAATGATGGAATGAGATTTGAGATTGTGCGATGACAATAAGATAAATGACAAATGGACGATGTTCGGTAATTAATTAGAGATTTGAGGATTAACAATTTAATAATATAAAAAATAAAAAATGAGTTTTTTTTTAGAATTTGGAAATTCTAAAGTTTATTTTAATTAATATCTAAATCATTAATTTTTTTTTTAAATTTTTACACCGTATGAATTAATTCTATCTTCTATGTATATAAACAATATTTATTGTGTTTGATGCTATATATATATATATATATATGTGTGTGTGTGTGTACCTATTTCTGCATGCATTGATAAGGCCTTTTCTTGTCCAAACAGCTTAATCTGTCAGTGTCGTAGTAAGACTTTCCTTGGATTTCTCAGTTTTTATTTTTCCTGGCGAATGGTTAAAAAATAAAAAGAAGAACGTGTTAGGGGAAATTACAAAAGTATCGAACTTCTACTTCAAATTACTGTTTCAAAACGAAGAAACGATTTTCATAGCAGCAGGTCAACACGTGCATTGCACGGGGATTGATGCACAATTATGAGTTTGTCAGACGAGCCCTTCAGTCATGAATTTTATTTCCACATTTTGTTCTATTAAATATAATTGGAATTTCTGCGTTTTGATCTTTGACCAATTTTTTATTTTCTTTTTCCTTCTGGAAATTTCCCGTTTTGAAAGTCGATACGTTTGGCTGAGGGGTATTTCTTGATTGGCATTTGGAGAAACGGCAGCTGGCTCGCATAATTTGATCAATATTTCTGAATATTATGTACTTAAAGGGAAAAAACATAAAATATGCCCTCGATATCAACAAAGACGAGTCAATAATATATATTATTCAAGAAATTTTTGGTTAAAATGATAAAACGTTTGACAAAGGAATCATATTAATATTTTATTAAAAAAAATACTTTCATTACATAAACTCGTATTCATGATCCAAAGTTTGGTCCCCTTCCTATATTTTCCCACGATAAATTGAATTGATGGACGAAATTGAATGGGATAAGAAGTGACCCCAATAAACAATGTCCTGTTGGGGTTTTCACTTTAACCGGTAAAAAAAATGAATAAAAAAAAAGCAATGAAAGTGCTTTGAACCCATCAAACGATCTTAGAGATACAAGAAAGTTTTGTTAGTTTTAAAGATTCTTAGTTTCAACAATTATATTTGTACGGTGTATATATTATCAATAGTTAAAAAATTATAAACCAATATTACTTTTTAATCAATCATATCATTGGTGTATTTAAGAGCAGGTCTAGCCATGACCCACTTTATGCTCAAAAAATTCAAGAAAATATAGTATAACTTATATAAAAATAATATATAAACTATGCAAAAAATTATATTGTCCTAGTTAATCTATATTTTATATTCAATATATATATATATATATATATAATTATTATTATATTTTTCAATTTAAAAATGTACACAAATTACGTTAGAATTTTTTTATTATATATTGATAAAAGTAATTAATTTTATTCAAAATAGAAAAAAATCCTAAATTACAATAAAGATTTACAATCACAATCGTAAATTAAGCACATAATTAGGAAATTTTCTAATAATCATTGAAACCAAACTAGTAACTTAAGATCACATAACAACCATACAGTGAAATATTAAATTTAACCAAGAAACTCGAATAAAGATAGATACAAACAGATCTGATCACATAAAGGAAAAAGAACCACAAAATGGGATCAAGTTGTTGAAAGATTGTCGACAAACGACAAATTAGACTCGAGTGATGTGAAAAGCTATACACGAATGCAAATCGGGTATTCAAATCCAATCCGAGAATCCAAAGCATGGAAGATCACAAAATATCATATAAGTGTCATCTTGATCAGTCGTAGCGATGTCAAATAAACCCTTAGAAAATGATAAATAAAAACGTCCAAAGAACTAAAAAAATGCAAAAAGAAAAAAAAAAGAAAACGTGACATAAACACAGACAAACTTATTGAAAATAAAAAACAAAAGAAAATAAAGATATGATATGATATAAAAAAAAAAGAAATAAAGAATACCGATGATTTGCAATCAATATTGAAGTTGGTGAGTATAGATAGTTACTCATTAAGATTGATGATAATTATTTTATATGGTCTATAATTGATTACTACTAGACCTTAATGTTTTAAAAGTTATTTGGGCGCATTGACGTTGCCAACCAAATCCAAGACTAATTTATTCAGTAACTGAGTCCTTTTACTTTAAACAAAATATTAAAACGGAAAGAAAATTAATTAATGCGGTCGTTGCATTTGATTCAACTCATTTATTTCTCTTGTTGAATTAGGTATTTAGTTATTTATATATTAAAACTCTCACGGCCTTAAAGAAATTTACTTTTAAGAAATATAAAATAAGAATGACTAATAATTTTTGCAGGTGGTCCAATTACTCATAACGGGTAAATATTTAATTTTCATCGACTTGTCCCAGTCCCTTATGGATTTGTCCTCCCCCAGTCCCTTATGGATTTGTCCTCCCCCAGTCCCCACACTATTTAATACTATTCATTGGTCAACACACTTACACTATATCCTATTTCAGTTTTATGGCTTATTGAAAAAAAATAAAAAATATAGAAATGATGATGATAGTAATTACAATCCAAAGAAAAATAATTAAAAAATTATAAAAAATCCTTTAATTCAACAGCCATATAGTTGTACTTGATCCAACCCCATGTGGCAAGCACTAATATATTTTTTAATTTAATAGATATATCTAACTCATCTATCCAATTAAACTAGTTTATGTGTA